TCAAAATGCCAACCAAACTATTCTCTTTGATCCACCGAAGGAGACCCAAATGGCCGGTGATATTGCCCAATAAACTGGAGGCAGAGGCTACAAACAACGACCGCTCCATCTGCAGCGCATGTGTTAAAAAGACCCATAGTGGTGAGCTCTGGAGAGCAGACAGTGCCCTGAACCCTTGAAGCTCTGCCATCCGGTGGAACACTGCGGCTTCTCCTTCCACTTCCCAACGAGCTGCCACCCTAGATGACATCCTGCCTCACTGGGGTTGTGCTTCTTCCTTCATTTTCCTCCTCTGTTCTGTAGGGTGAGAGACTTCATCCCCTCCCCCTCATCACTGGTGCCTACTTGCCATCGGTTCTCCCTGTCTGGTGTCCCCTATTATTCTTCTCAGCCTCGGCGCCCCTGAGTTCCTGTGCATTGAGGCTCAGGCTGTGCTCATATAATTCATGAGACTCCTCAGTTGGAGGAAGAATGAGGAGGCTGAATAGTGTGCTTTGGCAGGTGTGGTGGACTGAGAACTACTAACCTCGGTGCCTCCCACGTGTAAGGAACCTCAGCCTCTCCCTGTAGACTTCCCACGTGTAAGGAACCTCAACCTCTCCCTGTGGGCCTACCATGTGTGATGAACCTCAGCCTCTCCCTGTAGACTTCCCACGTGTAAGGAACCTCAGCCTCTCCCTGTAGACTTCCCACGTGTAAGGAACCTCAGCCTCTCCCTGTAGACTTCCCACGTGTAAGGAACCTCAGCCTCTCCCTGTAGACTTCCCACGTGTAAGGAACCTCAACCTCTCCCTGTGGGCCTACCATGTGTGATGAACCTCAGCCTCTCCCTGTGGGCCTACCATGTGTGATGAACCTCAGCCTCTCCCTGTGGGCCTACCATGTGTGATGAACCTCAGCCTCTCCCTGTGGGCCTACCATGTGTGATGAACCTCAGCCTCTCCCTGTGGGCCTCCCACGTGTGAGGAACCTCAGCCTCTCCCTGTGGGCCTACCACGTGTAAGGAACCTCAGCCTCTCCCTGTAGACTTCCCACGTGTAAGGAACCTCAACCTCTCCCTGTAGACTTCCCACGTGTAAAGAACCTCAGCCTCTCCCTGTAGACTTCCCACGTGTAAGGAACCTCAGCCTCTCCCTGTAGACTTCCCACGTGTAAGGAACCTCAGCCTCTCCCTGTGGGCCTACCATGTGTGATGAACCTCAGCCTCTCCCTGTGGGCCTACCACGTGTGAGGAACCTCAGCCTCTCCCTGTGGGCCTCCCACGTGTGAGGAACCTCAGCCTCTCCCTGTGGGCCTACCACGTGTAAGGAACCTCAGCCTCTCCCTGTAGACTTCCCACGTGTAAGGAACCTCAACCTCTCCCTGTAGACTTCCCACGTGTAAGGAACCTCAGCCTCTCCCTGTGGGCCTACCATGTGTGATGAACCTCAGCCTCTCCCTGTGGGCCTACCACGTGTGAGGAACCTCAGCCTCTCCCTGTGGGCCTCCCACGTGTGAGGAACCTCAGCCTCTCCCTGTGGGCCTACCACGTGTGAGGAACCTCAGCCTCTCCCTGTGGGCCTACCACGTGTAAGGAACCTCAGCCTCTCCCTGTAGACTTCCCACGTGTAAGGAACCTCAGCCTCTCCCTGTGGGCCTACCATGTGTGATGAACCTCAGCCTCTCCCTGTGGGCCCACCACGTGTGATGAACCTCAGCCTCTCCCTGTGGGCCCACCACGTGTGTGATGAACCTCAGCCTCTCCCTGTGGGCCCACCACGTGTGATGAACCTCAGCCTCTCCCTGTGGGCCCACCACGTGTGAGGAACCTCAGCCTCTCCCTGTGGGCTTACCACGTGTGATGAACCTCAGCCTCTCCCTGTGGGCCCACCACGTGTGAGGAACCTCAGCCTCTCCCTGTGGGCTTACCACGTGTGAGGAACTTCAGCCTCTCTCCGTGGGCCCACCATGTGTGAGGAACCTCAGCCTCTCCGTGGGCACACCACGTGTGATGAACCTCAGCCTCTCCCTGTGGGCTTACCACGTGTGAGGAACCTCAGCCTCCCCCTGTGGGCCTACCACGTGTGAGGAACCTCAGCTCTCCCTGTGGGCCCACCACGTGTGAGGAACCTCAGCCTCTTCCTGTGGGCCTACCACATGTGAGGAATCTCAGCCTCCCACTGAATGCCTCCCAAGTGTGAGGAACCTCCACCTCTCCCTGCAGGGCTCCCACATGAAAAGAATCTCAGCCTCTCCCTGTAGGGATCCCACGTGTAAGGAACCGAGTAGTCTGAATTGGGTCGTGTAGCGCCCCCACAAGCCGTGGCGGAGTAAAATGATGGTGGGGGGAGGGGAGAGTAGTCTGAATTGGGTCGTGTAGCGCCCCCCACACGCCGTGGCGGAGTAAAAATGATGTCTGTGGGGGGAGGGGGGAGAGAGTAGTCTGAATTGGGTCGTGTAGCGCCCCCACACAAAAATGATGGCCGTGGCGGAGTAAAATGATGGTGTGGGAGAGTAGTCTGAATTGGGTCGTGTGGCGCCCCCACACACGCCGTGGCGGAGTAAAATGATGGTGGGGGAGGGGAGAGTAGTCTGAATTGGGTCGTGTGGCGCCCCCACAAGCCGTGGCGGAGTAAAATGATGGTGGGGGAGGGGAGAGTAGTCTGAATTGGGAGAGTAGTCCGTGAATTGGGTCGTGTGGGCGCCCCCACACGCCGTGGCGGAGTAAAATGATGGTGGGGGAGGGGAGAGGGTAGTCTGAATTGGGTCGTGTGGCGCCCCCACACAAGCCGTGGCGGAGTAAAATGAAATGATGGTGGGGAGAGGGGGAGGGGAGAGTAGTCTGAATTGGGTCGTGTGGCGCCCCCCACAAGCCGTGGCGGAGTAAAATGATGGTGGGGGGAGGGGAGAGTAGTCTGAATTGGGTCGTGTGGCGCCCCCACACGCCGTGGCGGAGTAAAATGATGGTGGGGGAGGGGAGAGTAGTCTGAATTGGGTCGTGTGGCGCCCCCACACGCCGTGGCGGAGTAAAATGATGGTGGGGGAGGGGAGAGTAGTAGTCTGAATTGGGTCGTGTGGCGCCCCCACAAGCCGTGGCGGAGTAAAATGATGGTGGGGGAGGGGAGAGTAGTCTGAATTGGGTCGTGTGGCGCCCCCAAGCCGTGGCGGACGCCGTGGCGGAGTAAAATGATGGTGGGGGAGGGGAGAGTAGTCTGAATTGGGTCGTGTGGCGCCCCCACACAGCCGTGGCGGAGTAAAAATGATGGTGGGGGAGGGGAGAGTAGTCTGAATTGGGTCGTGTGGCGCCCCACACAAGCCGTGGCGGAGTAAAAATGATGATGGTGGGGGGGAGGGGAGAGTAGTCTGAATTGGGTCGTGTGGCGCCCACACACGCCGTGGCGGAGTAAAATGATGGTGGGGGAGGGGAGAGTAGTCTGAATTGGGTCGTGTGGCGCCCCCCACAAGCCGTGGCGGAGTAAAATGATGGTGGGGGAGGGGAGAGTAGTCTGAATTGGGTCGTGTGGCGCCCCCACACAAGCCGTGGCGGAGTAAAAAATGATGGTGGGGGAGGGGAGAGTAGTCTGAATTGGGTCTGAATTGGGTGTGTGGCGCCCCCACAAGCCGTGGCGGAGTAAAATATGGTGGGGGAGGGGAGAGTAGTCTGAATTGGGTCGGGATGGGGAGAGGGAGTCTGAATTGGGTCGTGTGGCGCCCCCACACGCCGTGACGGAGTAAAATGATGGTGGGGGAGGGGAGAGTAGTCTGAATTGGGTCGTGTGGCGCCCCACACGCCGTGGCGGAGTAAAATGATGGTGGGGGAGGGGAGAGTAGTCTGAATTGGGTCATGTGTAGCGCCCCCACAAGCCGTGGCGGAGTAAAATGATGGTGGGGGAGGGGAGAGTAGTCTGAATTGGGTTGTGTAGCGCCCCCACAAGCCGTGGCGGAATAAAATGATGGTGGGGGAGGGGAGAGTAGTCTGAATTGGGTCATGTAGGCGCCCACCACAAGCCGTGGCGGAGTAAAATGATGGTGGGGGAGGGGAGAGTAGTCTGAATTGGGTCGTGTGGCGCCCACACACAAGCCGTGGTGGAGTAAAATGATGGTGGGGGAGGGGAGAGTAGTCTGAATTGGGTTGTGTAGCGCCCCCACAAGCCGTGGCGCTCTCATCTCACACATCGGACTTTCTCTGCCAGCCGTGAGTCTCTTCCAAGGTCCGACATGACGACATCTGCTGGGTGGAGTCAGAGCAGAGGGAGGGACCTATAATCTGGGATCCGCTCACCTCCATTCTCCAAGCCCCGCCCCAGCTTCTCCTGCCGTGTCATGTGACGGACGCAGCCTGGTTGTCTGGGGACTCACTCACCCGCGTGCCGGGTGACACCCTGTGAGGGTGGTGATTGGCTCTCGTCTCAGACCTTCCCCAAGGTATGGGAGTGATCCCACCCCCAAGTGGGAGTGGCGCACTCAGCACGTGACCTCGGTAGTGAGCTTCCCTTCACCCGATCGCTGTGGTCCGCCATGTTCTTTATAAACGCCTCCGGGATCTGAGAGGGTCAGGTCAGGGAGAGCCCGTCCATTATTCCCATTATTCCTGGATGTCTGCTGTGATGTATGTGCAGATGTACACCGAATACACCGAAAACACACTCATACATTACACACAGCCCCTTCCCTCTCACCCCTGGATCACACACTGACATACCCACAAACCTCTGCGACATCTATGTAGATAGGAGGGGCGGGGACTTTGCCACCTACCAGTCAGAAAACGGGGGCGGGCCGGCAGAGCACGGGGGCGGGGCGGCAGGCACGGGGGCGGGGCAGCAAAGCCTTAGGGCGACATCCCTAAGTACTCCCATTGCACTTGTAGGGGGCGTGGCTTTCAGAACTCTGAAAGGGCGGAGTAGAGGCGGATGAGGAGAACAGGAGGCGGATCCATAGCTGCAGTGAGAGAAGGGGGCGGTCCTGTAGGCTGAGGACATCGGAAGTGGGGCTCTGTCCTTGTTTCTACTTCCGGGTCACCTGTGTCTCCATCATGGCGGCTCTCAGGCAGCTCTTTACAGCGGCAGAGGTGAGACTCCGGTGTTGTGAATAGGGCGGTGCCCCCTCACTGCTCCTCCATCTGTGTACACAGAGCCTTCTCCTGGCGGAAGCAGCATGTTCCCAGTGAAGGCGGAGCTGCTCATGCTGGGTGTACTGTGTGACCTCTCACTAATCCTTCTCTCTCTGTCTGTAGAGATGTGTCCGGGGCTCCCCTTTCCTCCGGAGACCCCTGTCCTCCTCCGCGGTCCTCCTCCAAGCTGCGGACAGTCAGGTGAGTGTGCCGTACCGTGGGGGCGGAGCCCTGATACCTATAACAGCCAATCAGGATGAACCCTTTCCCCCCCCCCCCCAGAGCCAGATTTGTGTTTTAATCCTGATAGGTCAGATGAAACCTCCCGCCATCATGTTTCCTGAAAGCAAAGACCCCGGAGAGGAAGATGGCGGCCGGTCCAGGTGTCTGCGTCCTGCGACATTCGCGTGAAGTTCAGTTTAGGGCTCATAGATGCAGCAAGTGAACCCGTTAACCTCTTCCCATCCGGACCATCTCCATAAACGACCGGGCGGGAGCGCGCGGCACCGCGATCGCTGTACGGGACTTCTGTGCGCGGCACCGCGATCGCTGTACGGGACTTCTGTGCGGGGCACCGCGATCGCTGTACGGGACTTCTTGTGCGCGGGCACCGCGATCGCTGTACGGGACTTCTGTGCTTGGCACCGCGATCGCTGTACGGGACTTCTGTGCGGGGCACCGCGATCGCTGTACGGGACTTCTGTGCGGGGCACCGCGATCGCTGTACGGGACTTCTGTGCGGGGCACCGCGATCGCTGTACGGGACTTCTGTGCGGGGCACCGCGATCGCTGTACGGGACTTCTGTGCGGGCACCGCGATCGCTGTACGGGACTTCTGTGCGGGGCACCGCGATCGCTGTACGGGACTTCTGTGCGGGGCACCGCGATCGCTGTACGGGACTTCTGTGCGGGGCACCGCGATCGCTGTACGGGACTTGTGTGCTTGGCACCGCGATCGCTGTACGGGACTTCTGTGCGGGGCACCGCGATCGCTGTACGGGACTTCTGTGCGGGGCACCGCGATCGCTGTACGGGACTTCTGTGCGCGGGGCACCGCGATCGCTGTACGGGACTTCTGTGCGGGGCACCGCGATCGCTGTACGGGACTTCTGTGCGGGGCACCGCGATCGCTGTACGGGACTTCTGTGCGGGGCGGCACCGCGATCGCTGTACGGGACTTCTGTGCGGGGCACCGCGATCGCTGTACGGGACTTCTGTGCGGGGCACCGCGATCGCTGTACGGGACTTGTGTGCGGGGCACCGCACTCGCTGTACGGGACTTGTGTGCTTGGCACCGCGATCGCTGTACGGGACTTGTGTGCTTGGCACCGCGATCGCTGTACGGGACTTGTGTGCTTGGCACCGCGATCGCTGTACGGGACTTGTGTGCTTGGCACCGCGATCGCTGTACGGGACTTCTGTGCGCGGCACCGCGATCGCTGTACGGGACTTCTGTGCGCGGCACCGCGATCGCTGTACGGGACTTCTGTGCGGGGCACCGCGATCGCTGTACGGGGAACTGCTTCTGTGCGGGGGCACCGCGATCGCTGTACGGGACTTCTGTGCTTGGCACCGCGATCGCTGTACGGGACTTCTGTGCGGGGCACCGCGATCGCTGTACGGGACTTCTGTGCGGGGCACCGCGATCGCTGTACGGGACTTCTGTGCGCGGCACCGTGCGCGGGACTTCTGTGCGCGTGGCAGCACCGCGATCGCTGTACGGGACTTCTGTGCGCGCGGCACCGCGATCGCTGTACGGGACTTCTGCGCGCGGGCACCGCGATCGCTGTACGGGACTTCTGTGCGGGGCACCGCGATCGCTGTACGGGACTTCTGCGCGGGGGCACCGCGATCGCTGTACGGGACTTCTGTGCTTGGGGCACCGCGATCGCTGTACGGGACTTCTGTGCTTGCACGCACCAGCGATCGCTGTACGGGACTTCTGTGCGCGGCACCGCGATCGCTGTACGGGACTTCTGTGCGCGGCACCGCGATCGCTGTACGGGACTTCTGTGCGCGGCACCGCGATCGCTGTACGGGACTTCTGTGCGCGCGGCACCGCGATCGCTGTACGGGACTTCTGTGCGCGGCACCGCGATCGCTGTACGGGACTTCTGTGCGCGGCACCGCGATCGCTGTACGGGACTTCTTGTGCGCGGCACCGCGATCGCTGTACGGGACTTCTGTGCGCGGCACCGCGATCGCTGTACGGGACTTGTGTGCGCGGCACCGCGATCGCTGTACGGGACTTGTGTGCGCGGCACCGCGATTCGCTGTACGGGACTTGTGTGCGCGGCACCGCGATCGCTGTACGGGACTTTGTGCGCGGCACCGCGATCGCTGTACGGGACTTGTGTGCGCGGCACACCGCGATCGCTGTACGGGACTTTTGTGTGCGCGGCACCGCGATCGCTGTACGGGACTTGTGTGCGCGGCACCGCGATCGCTGTACGGGACTTGTGTGCGCGGCACCGCGATCGCTGTACGGGACTTTTGTGCGCGGCACCGCGATCGCTGTACGGGACTTTGTGCGCGGCACCGCGATCGCTGTACGGGACTTGTGTGCGCGGCACCGCGATCGCTGTACGGGACTTGTGTGCGCGGCACCGCGATCGCTGTACGGGACTTGTGTGCGCGGCACCCGCGATCGCTGTACGGGACTTCTGTGCGGGGCACGCGATCGCTGTACGTGTGCGCGGCACCGCGATCGCTGTACGGGACTTCTTGTGCGCGGCACCGCGATCGCTGTACGGGACTTCTGTGCGGGCACCGCGATCGCTGTACGGGACTTCTGTGCGGGGGCACCGCGATCGCTGTACGGGACTTCTGTGCGGGCACCGCGATCGCTGTACGGGACTTCTGTGCGCGGCACCGCGATCGCTGTACGGGACTTCTGTGCGGGGCACCGCGATCGCTGTACGGGACTTCTGTGCGCGGGCACCGCGATCGCTGTACGGGACTTCTGTGCGCGGCACCGCGATCGCTGTACGGGACTTTTGTGCGCGGCACCGCGATCGCTGTACGGGACTTCTGTGCGCGCGGCACCGCGATCGCTGTACGGGACTTCTGTGCGCGGCACCGCGATCGCTGTACGGGACTTGTGTGCGGGGCACCGCGATCGCTGTACGGGACTTGTGTGCGCGGCACCGCGCGATCGCTGTACGGGACTTGTGTGCGCGGCACCGCGATCGCTGTACGGGACTTGTGTGCGCGGCACCGCGATCGCTGTACGGGACTTGTGTGCGCGGCACCGCGATCGCTGTACGGGACTTGTGTGCGCGGCACCACGCGATCGCTGTACGGGACTTGTGTGCGCGGCACCGCGATCGCTGTACGGGACTTCTGTGCGCGGCACCGCGATCGCTGTACGGGACTTCTGTGCGCGGCACCGCGATCGCTGTACGGGACTTCTGTGCTTGGCACCGCGATCGCTGTACGGGACTTCTGTGGCTTGGCACCGCGGATCGCTGTACGGGACTTGTGTGCGGGGCACCGCGGTCGCTGTACCGGATTTCTGTGCGCGGGCACCGCGGCGATCGCTGTACGGGACTTCTGTGCGGGGCACCGCGATCGCTGTACGGGACTTCTGTGCGCGGGCACCGCGATCGCTGTACGGGACCTCTGTGTGAGGTCCCGATCATGTGATCACTGATTGTGCCAATCAGTGATCACATGCAGAGTAGTAAGCAAGATGTCATTTCTGACATCATTGCTTACTACATGTGAAATCTGTGAATGATCACAGAGGTCACATGGTACGGGGCCATTCACAACAGCCTTGTACCATGTGACAAGCTGTGACCAATCACAGCTCACTCAGTACTTCTCAATGGCTGCAAGAATGCAGCCAGAGAGAAGAAGAAATGATTGATTTTACAGCCATTATGATTGTAAAAAAAAAAAAAAATTTCCTCCCCCCCACAAGTAGTACAGGGGTGGGATGTCTATTGGGCGGGGTCATCCCTGATAAGTGGAGTTGTCTCTCCAGGGGGTGGGATGTCTCTCTATTGGGCGGGGTCATCTCTGATAAGTGGAGCTGTCTCTCCAGGGGTGGGCTGTCATTTGGGCGGGGTCATCTCTGATAAGTGGAGTGTCTCTCCAGTGGGATGTCTCTCTATTGGGCGGGGTCATCTCTGATAAGTGGAGCTGTCTCTCCAGTGGGTGGGCTGTCTATTGGGCGGGGTCATCTCTGATAAGTGGAGCTGTCTCTCCAGTGGGGGGGCTGTCTATTGGGCGGGGTCATCTCTGATAAGTGGAGCTGTCTCTCCAGTGGGTGGGCTGTCTATTGGGCGGGGTAATCTCTGATAAGTGGAGTTGTCTCTCCAGTGGGTGGGCTGTCTTTTGGGCGGGGTCATCTCTGATAAGTGGAGTTGTCTCTCCAGGGGGTGGGATGTCTATTGGGCGGGGTCATCCTGATAAGTGGAGTTGTCTCTCCAGGGGGGTGGGATGTCTATTGGGCGGGGTCATCTCTGATAAGTGGAGTTGTCTCTCCAGGGGGTGGGATGTCTATTGGGCGGGGTCATCCTGATAAGTGGAATTGTCTCTCCAGGGGGTGGGATGTCTCTATTGGGCGGGGTCATCTCTGATAAGTGGAGCTGTCTCTCCAGTGGGTGGGCTGTCTATTGGGCGGGATCATCTCTGATAAGTGGAGCTGTCTCTCCAGGGGGTGGGATGTGTCATTTGGGCGGGGTCATCTCTGATAAGTGGAGCTGTCTCTCCAGGGGTGGGATGTCTATCTATTGGGCGGGGTCATCTCTGATAAGTGGAGTTGTCTCTCCAGGGGGTGGGCTGTCTATTGGGCGGGGTCATCTCTGATAAGTGGAGTTGTCTCTCTCCAGTGGGTGGGCTGTCTATTGGGCGGGGTCTCTATCTCTGATAAGTGGATTGTTTCTCCAGGGGGTGGGATGTCTATTGGGCGGGGTCATCTCTGATAAGTGGAGCTGTCTCTCCAGGGGGTGGGATGTCTATTGGGCGGGGTCATCTCTGATAAGTGGAGTTGTCTCTCCAGTGGGTGGGCTGTCTATTGGGCGGGGTTTCTCTGATAGGTGGAGTTGTCTCTCCAGGGGGTGGGATGTCTCTCTATTGGGCGGGGTCATCTCTGATAAGTGGAGTTGTCTCTCCAGGGGGTGGGAAGTCTCATCTCTGATTGGTGGAGTTGTCTCTCCAGGGGGGGGCTGGGATGTCTATTGGGCGGGTCATCTCTGATAAGTGGAGTTGTCTCTCCAGGGGTGGGATGTCTCTCTATTGGGCGGGGTCATCTCTGATAAGTGGAGTTGTCTCTCCAGGGGGTGGGATCTCTCTATTGGGCGGGGTCATCTCTGATAAGTGGAGTTGTCTCCTTATTGGGTGGGGTCATCTCTCCAGTAAGTGTTGTCCCTCCAGTGGGTACAGTTTTCTCTCTATTTGGTGGGGTACATCTCTAGTTGGCAGGGTTGTTGTCAGTGGGTGGAGTCGGTGCTTGGTGTGATGTCATTCTCTGTGTTCTCTGATGTCACAGGGGGAGTCGGGCCAGTCAGAAGGGGCCTTCCGTGTCACTATGATCCCCGGGGATGGAGTGGGCCCGGAGCTCATGCACTCGGTGAAGGAAGTCTTTAAGGTGAGTGACATCGTTTTTCTCTCTAGTGGATGGGGCCGTCTCCTTTATTGGATGGGGTTGTCCCTTTATTGGATGGGGTCGTCCCTTTATTGGATGGGGTCGTCCCTTTATTCATGGGGTCGTCCCTTTATTGGATGGGGTCGTCCCTTTAGTGGATGGGGTCGGTAGTGGATGGGGCTGTCCCTTTATTGGATGGGGCCGTCCCTTTATTGGATGGGGTCGTCCCTTTAGTGGATGGGGCCCGTCCCTTTAGTGGATGGGGTCGTCCCTTTAGTGGATGGGGCCGTCCCTGTAGTGGATGGGGTCGTCCCTTTAGTGGATGGGGTCGTCCCTTTAGTGGATGGGGCCGTCCCTTTAGTGGATGGGGCCGTCCCTTTAGTTGGATGGGGCCGTCCCTTTAGTGGATGGGGCCCTCCCTTTAGTGGATGGGGCCCTCCCTTTAGTGGATGGGGCCCTCCCTTTAGTGGATGGGGCCCTCCCTTTAGTGGATGGGGCCCTCCCTTAGTGGATGGGGCCCTCCCTTTAGTGGATGGGGCCCTCCCTTTAGTGGATGGGGCCCTCCCTTTAGTGGATGGGGCCCTCCCTTTAGTGGATGGGGCCCTCCCTTTAGTGGATGGGGCCCTCCCTTTAGTGGATGGGGCCCTCCCTTTAGTGGATGGGGTCATCTGTTCAAACCGCAGGGCCCGGGTCAGCTGACAACCAGATTGGACCATCTACCTCCTGAACTCTACATTCATGTGCCCAATCATACCATCACCTTCTGTGAGCCGTCATCGTATGTAGGATGTCACTCTGCTCCGCCCCCAGCCCTGTGACACGTTCCTTCATACCTGGAAGTACTGTGTATTTCCTCCAGCTCTCCATGCTGATTGGCCCAGCACCGTCACATGTTCCTTCATTCCTGGATGTACCGTGTCTTTCCTCCAGCTCCCTATGGCAATTAGAGGGAAGGTCAGTACCTGCGTTATCCCAGCAGGCCTTAATACACGTGAATGTTGATCCTCCTGCCCCTCCTCCTCTCACAGGCCGCTGACGTCCCAGTGGAGTTCGATGAGCATCACCTGAGCGAGGTGCAGAACATGGCGTCCACAGAGAAGCTGGAGCAAGTGCTGAACTCCATGCAGGCCAATAAAGTGGCCATTAAAGGTAAGTCATCATGGCCGCCCGTGTCACATATTACAGGAAATAGCTGCAGGGATGCAGTTCTTGGACAATGCGGATACTGTGCCTTGAAAAGTCTTCTTTCCCCTTGAAATGTTCCTCATGTTGTCATGTGACAACCAGAACCGTCAATGTATATGATTGGGATTGGATGTGATGGACCGACACAAAATGGCACATAATTGTGAAGTGGAAGGAAAATGAGAAATGGTTTCCAACATTTGTGACCAATAAATCTGTGAAAAGTGAGGCGGCATTTGTATTCAGCCCCCTTTACTCTGATACCCCTAACTAAAATCTGGTGGAATCAATTGCCTTCAGAAGTCACCTAATTAGTACATAGAGTCCCCCTGTGTGTCATGTGATCTCAGTATAAATCCAGCTGTTTTTTGAAGTCCTGAGAGGTTTGTTAGAGAACATTCATGAACAAACAGCATCATGAAGGACAAGGAACACACCAGACAGGTCAGGGATAAAGTTGTGGAGAAGTGTAAAGCAGGGTTAGGTTATAAAGCAATCTCCCGAACTTTGCCCATCTCACGGAGCACTGTGTTCAATCCATCCTCCGAACATGGGAGGAGTACAGCACAACTGCCAACCTACCAAGACATGGCTGTCCACCTAAACTGACCGGCTGGGCAAGGAGAGCATTCATCAGAGAAGCAGCCAAGAGGCTCATGGGAACTGTGGAGGAGCTGCAGAGATCACAGCTCAGGTGGGGGAATCTGTCCACAGGAGGACACTCCACAAATCTGGCCTTTATGGAAGAGTAACAAGAAGCCATTGTTGGAGGAAAGCCATAAGTCCTGTTTTCAGTTGGTGAGAAGCCATGTGGGGGACACAGCAAACATGGAGGAAGAAGGGGCTCTGGTCAGAGGAGACCAACATGGGACTTTACGGCCTAAAAGCAAAACGCTATGTGTGGGGGAAAACTAACACTGCCCATCCCCCTGAACACACATCCCCACCGTGAAACATGGTGGTGGCAGCATCATGTGGTGGGGATGCTTTTCTTCAGCAGGGACAGGGAAGCTGGTCAGAGTTGATGGGAAGATGGATGGAGCCAAATACAGGGCAATCTTAGAAGAAAACCTGTTAGAACTGCAGAAGACTTGAGACCGGGGCGGAGGTTCCCCTTCCAGCAGGAAAAACGACCCGAAAAAAATCCAGCCATAGCTACAATGGAATGGTTCCCATCAAAGCATCTTCATGTGTTAGAATGGCCCAGTCACAGTCCAGACCCAAATCCAATGGAGAATCTGTGGCCAGACCTGAAAATTGCTGTTCCCAGACGCCCTCCATCCAATCTGACAGCTTGAGGGATTCTGCAAAGAAGAACGGGCAGAAATGTCCCTCTCTAGATGTGCAAAGAGACATCCCCAAAAAGACTTGCAGCTGGAATGGCAGCCAAAGGGGGTCCTGCAAAGTATTCACTGCGGGGGGTGAATACAAATGCCACCACACTTTCACAGATTTATTGGTCACAAATGTTGGAAACCATTTTCTCATCTTCCTTCCACTTCACAATTATGAGCCACTTTGTGTCGGTCCATCACATCCAATCCCAATTAATATACATTGATGGTTCTGGTGTTGTAACATGACAACATGGGGGACATTTTAAATGAGAAAAGAACTTTTCCAAAACACTGTATATACTTACGTTATATTAATAACCCTGATGTGTTGTAGTTCCCTCCTCTATCCCCTCTATGTCGTTGCCGGGTCCTGGGGTGTTGTAGTTCCCTCCTCTATCCCCTATGTCGTTGCCGGGTCCTGGGGTGTTGTAGTTCCCTCTCCTCTATCCCCTATGTCGTTGCCGGGTCCTGGGGTGTTGGGGTAGTTCCCTCCTCTATCCCCTATGTCGCCCCGGGTTGCCGGGTCCTGGGGTGTTGTAGTTCCCTCCTCTATCCCCTATGTCGTTGCCGGGTCCTGGGGTGTTGTAGTTCCCTCCTCTATCCCCTATGTCGTTGCCGGGTCCTGGGGTGTTGTAGTTCCCTCCTCTATCCCCTATGTCATTGCCGGGTCCTGGGGTGTTGTAGTTCCCTCCTCTATCCCCTATGTCATTGCCGGGTCCTGGGGTGTTGTAGTTCCCTCTTCTGACCCCCTTTGTCATTGCCGGGTCCTGGGGTGTTGTAGTTCCCTCTTCTGACCCCCTTTGTCATTGCCGGGTCCTGGGGTGTTGTAGTTCCCTCCTCTGACCCCTATGTCATTGCCGGGTCCTGGGGTGTTGTAGTTCCCTCCTCTGACCCCTATGTCGTTGCCGGGTCCTGGGGTGTTGTAGTTCCCTCCTCTGACCCCTATGTCGTTGCCGGGTCCTGGGGTGTTTGTAGTTCCCTCCTCTGACCTCCTATGTCATTGCCGGGTCCTGGGGTGTTGTAGTTCCCTCCTCTGACCTCCTATGTCCTCTTCGCCCCCTTGCCGGGTCCTGGGGTGTTGTAGTTCCCTCTTCTGACCCCTTTGTCATTGCCGGGTCCTGGGGTGTTGTAGTTCCCTCTTCTGACCCCCTTTGTGTCATTGCTGGGTCCTGGGGTGTTGTAGTTCCCTCCTCTGACCCCTATGTCGTTGCCAGGTCCTGGGGTGTTGTAGTTCCCTCTTCTGACCTCCTATGTCGTTGCCGGGTCCTGGGGTGTTGTAGTTCCCTCTTCTGACCTCCTATGTCGTTGCTGGGTCCTGGGGTGTTGTAGTTCCCTCCTCTGACCTCTATGTCGTAGCTGGGTCCTGGGGTGTTGTAGTTCCCTCCTCTGACCTCTATGTCGTTGCTGGGTCCTGGGGTGTTGTAGTTCCCTCCTCTGACCTCTATGTCGTTGCCGGGTCCTGGGGTGTTGTAGTTCCCTCCTCTGACCCCTTTGTCGTTGCCGGGTCCTGGGGTGCTGTAGTTCCCTCCTCTGACCCCTTTGTCGTTGCCGGGGTCCTGGGGTGCTGTAGTTCCCTCCTCTCTGACCCCTTTGTCATTGCTGGGTCCTGGGGTGCTGTAGTTCCCTCCTCTGACCTCTATGTTGTTGCCGGGTCCTGGGGTGCTGTAGTTCCCTCCTCTGACCCCTTTGTCGTTGCCGGGTCCTGGGATGTTGTAGTTCCCTCCTCTGACCTCTGTCATTGCCGGGTCCTGGGGTGCTGTAGTTCTCAGATTGCACCGTGTGGGGTCAGTTTGGGTTGGATGTTGCAGGCGGGGTCAGTTCTGTATAATCGGGCCCATGTCCATCCCTACCCCGACCTGTGTATCATCATCTGAAGAATGAGCAGCCGAGGAGGTGATCCTATTGGAGGAAATGAGTACTACAGACAGGCCTGTGTGTGACGTGTCCTCTGTCTCTGCAGGGAAGATCCACACCCCCATGGAGTACAAAGGTGAACTGGCCTCCTATGAGATGAGACTCAGGTATGGGCTACACCCCGGGTACACACCACACGGGGCCCAGCTATGGGCTGCATACGGGACCGCAGGGGGAAGGGATAAGGGATATGAGGGACCAAAGGGAACAGGACTGTGAGGGACTGCTGGGGAAGGAACAGGGCTTCTAGGGAACTGTTGGGGAAGGGGCCAAACTGGGGCCACAGGGGAACTGTCGCGGGTGGGAACGGGGCCCGCAAGGGAACTGTCGCGGGGAACGGGGCCCCGCAAGGGAACTGTCGCGGTGGAACGGGGCCGCAAGGGAACTGGGGCGGGGCCGCAAGGGAACTGTCGCGGGTGGAACGGGGCCGCAAGGGAACTGTCGGCCCCGCAAGGGAACTGTCGCGGGTGGAACGGGGCCCGCAAGGGAACTGTCGCGGGTGGAACGGGGCCCGCAAGGGAACTGTCGCGGGGTGGAACGGGGCCCGGGGAACTGTCCGCGGGTGGAACCCCGCAAGGGAACTGTCGCGGGTGGAACGGGGCCCGCAAGGGAACTGTCGCGGGTGGAACGGGGCCCGCAAGGGAACTGTCGCGGGTGGAACGGGGCCCGCAAGGGAACTGTCGCGGGTGGAACGGGGGCCCGCACGGGGGGCCCGCAAGGGAACTGTCGCGGGTGGAACGGGGCCCGCAAGGGAACTGTCGCGGGTGGAACGGGGCCCGCAAGGGAACTGTCGCGGGTGGAACGGGGCGGAACGGGGGTGGACTGAGGCCCGCAAGGGAACTGTCGCGGATGGACGGAGGCCCGCAAGGGAACTATTGGGTGTAGGGCTGAGGGACCGTTGGGAAAGGGACGGTGTTATGAAGGACTGCAAGTATGGAACATGTTTGAGGGACCACAGGAGACGGGGCAGCTAGACCTCCAATATGAACTGATGATAGAAGCTGTATTGTGCACCCAGGATTATAATTTCCCAGAATCCTCAGTGACAGGACGTCTCCTCCTCCTCTCCTCAGACGGAAGTTGGACCTCTTTGCCAATGTGGTTCATGTGAACAGTCTACCCGGGATACAAGACCCGACACAACAATCTGGACCTGGTCATCATCAGGGAGCAAACTGAGGGCGAGTACAGCTCCCTGGAACATGAGGTACGTGGGGGGAGCACAGTGTACAGGGGGGGGGACGGGAGAGGGAGGGGGTAGAGTACGGGGTACACTGGTGGGGGGGGGCACAGTGTAACAGGGGGAGGAGAGGAGGGGGAGAGTACGGGGTACACTGGTGGGGGCACAGTGTACAGGGGGGAGGAGAGGAGGGGGTAGAGTACGGGGTACACTGGTGGGGGGGGAGGCACAGTGTACAGGGGGGAGGAGAGGAGGGGGTAGAGTACGGGGGTACACTGGTAGGGGGGGGGGAGCACAGTGTAACAGGGGGGAGGAGAGGAGGGGGTAGAGTACGGGGTACACTGGTGGGGGGGGGGAGCACAGTGTACAGGGGGGAGGAGAGGAGGGGGTAGAGTACGGGGTACACTGGTAGGGGGGGGGGGGTGAGCACAGTGTACAGGGGGGGGAGAGGAGGGGGTAGAGTACGGGGTACACTGGTAGGGGGGGGGGGGAGCACAGTGTACAGGGGGGAGGAGGAGAGGAGGGGGTAGAGTACGGGGTACACTGGTAGGGGGGGGAAACAGTCTACCGAGCACAGTGTACAGGGGGGTCAGGAGAGGGAGGGGGGGTAGAGTACGGGGTACACTGGGTAGGGGGGGGAGCACAGTGTACAGGGGGGAGGAGAGGAGGGGGTAGAGTACGGGGTACACTGGTAGGGGGGGGAGCACAGTGTACAGGGGGGAGGAGAGGAGGGGGTAGAGTACGGGGTACACTGGTAGGGGGGGGGGAGCACAGTGTACAGGGGGGAGGAGAGGAGGGGGGTAGAGTACGGGGTACACTGGTGGGGGGGGCACAGTGTACAGGGGGGAGGAGAGGAGGGGGTAGGGTAGAGTACGGGGTACACTGGTGGGGGGGGGGGGCACAGTGTACAGGGGGGAGGAGAGGGAGGGGGGTAGAGTACGGGGTACACTGGTGGGGGCACAGTGTACAGGGGGGAGGAGAGGAGGGGGTAGAGTACGGGGTACACTGGTGGGGGGGGGCACAGTGTACAGGGGGGAAGAGAGGAGGGGGGGTTAGAGTACGGGGTACACTGGTAGGGGGGGGGGGCACAGTGTACAGGGGGGAGGAGAGGAGGGGGTAGAGTACAGGGGTACACTGGTGGGGGGGGGAGCACAGTTGTATACAGGGGGGAGGAGAGGAGGGGGGGGGGTAGAGTACGGGGTACACTGGTAGGGGGGGGGAGCACAGTGTACAGGGGGGAGGAGAGGAGGGGGTAGAGTACGAGGTACACTGGTGGGGGGGGCACAGTGTACAGGGGGGAGGGAGGAGGGGAGGAGGGTAGAGTACGGGGGGGTACACTGGTGGGGGGGGAGCACAGTGTACAGGGGGGAGGAGAGGAGGGGGGTAGAGTACGGGGTACACTGGTGGGGGGGGACAGTGTACAGGGGGGAGGAGAGGAGGTGGGGTACACTGGTAGAGGAATGGGGGATATGAAGTACATTGTACAGAGAGGGGAGCACATGGTAGATGGTGGAACATGAGGTACAGTATATCCTACCCAGGGAGTAATGAAGCCTTCTCAAGCATGAGGCATATTGTACGTAGATGGGGGGGGGGGGGGGTCTGTTGCCCGTGGTTGGGGGGTATGAGGCTCAGTGCACATGGCTAGGGGGTATGAGTCTGGCTGCACGTGGTTGAGGGGGAGGGTATGAGGCTGGCTGCACGTGGTTGGGGGGGGGGGGGGTATGAGGCTGGCTGCACGTGGTTGGGGGGGGGTATGAGGCTGGCTACACGTGGTTGGGGGGGGGGGTATGAGGCTGGCTACACGTGGTTGGGGGGGGGGGGTATGAGGCTGGGCTACACGTGGTTGGGGGGGGGGGGTATGAGGCTGGCTACACGTGGTTGGGGGGGGGGGGGTATGAGGCTGGCTACACGTGGTTGGGGGGGGGGTATGAGGCTGGCTACACGTGGTTGGGGGGGGGGGTATGAGGCTGGCTACACGTGGTTGGGGGGGGTATGAGGCTGGCTACACGTGGTTTGGGGGGGGGTATGAGGCTGGCTACACGTGGTTTTGGTTGGGGGTATGAGGCTGGCTACACGTGGCTGGGGGTATGAGGCTGGCTGCACGTGGCTGGGGGCGTGAAGCTGGTCGACGTGGTTGGGGGGGGGGTACCCATGTGACCTTTGTATGACGGTATTTGGTGTTTTCTGGGCGCAGAGTGTCAGCGGAGTCATCGAATGTCTGAAGATCATCACCAGAGAGAAATCCAACCGGATCGCCAAGTTCGCCTTCGATTACGCCACGAAGATAGAAAGGTCGATCCAAAGTGACCGCCGTGCACAAGGCCAACATCATGTGAGTGCCGGGATGTCGCCCCATCACTCCTCTGGGGGCGGAGAGCTCTCTATGGGAGGGAACACATCTCTTTATAATAGGTCCCTCCTCCAGGGCGGCCCGAGGTCATCACCTCTTCTGGGAGGGGTCTTCTTATAGGACATGCCCACATCTGATAGGATGAAGAGCTGTAGGCTGTTCCTTCATTACTGGGACACGCCCACATCCTCACAGTTCGTATAGTAAAATTGCCATTCATTATTTTTTTTAATCGAAGTGATCATGTGACTTCTTTGTGAATGATCCTGTGATCTGTTTCCACCAATCAGGAAGCTGGGTGACGGTTCTGTTCCTGCAGTGCTGTAAGGAGGTGGCTGAATTGTATCCCAGAATCCAGTTTGAAACCATGATCATCGACAACTGTTGTATGCAGGTAAGGGGGCGACCCTCGCCCACCTAGGCAGGACACTCCCCCTTTAACCCTGCCCACAGGACATTCCCCCTCACCCCTGCCCGCAGGACACTCCCCCTTCACCCCTGCCCACAGGACACTCCCCCCCTCGCCCACAGGACACCCCCCCCCCCGCCCACAGGACGCCCCCCCCCCCCATCGCCCACAGGACACCCCCCCCCCCCTCGCCCACAGGACACCGCCCCCCCCCGCCCCCACCCCCCCCTCGCCCACAGGACGCCCCCCCCTCGCCCACAGGACGCCCCCCCCCGCCCACCCCCCCCCCCTCGCCCACAGGACGCCCCCCCCCCCTCGCCCACAGGACGCCCCCCCCCCCCCCATCCGCCCACAGGACGCCCCCCCCCCCCTCCCACAGCCCGCCCCAGCCACAGGGACGCCCCCCCTCGCCCACAGGACGCCCCCCCCCTCGCCCACAGGACGCCCCCCTCACCACTGCCCACAGGACGCCCCCCCCTCGCCCACAGGACGCCCCCCCCCTCGCCCACAGGACGCCGCCCCCTCGCCCACAGGACGCCCCCCCTCAACCCCTGCCCACAGGACGCCCCGCCCCCTCAACCCTGCCCACAGGACGCCGCCCCCCTCACGCCCACAGGACGCCGCCCCCTCACCCTGCCCACAGGACGCCGCCCCCTCAACCCTGCCCACAGGACGCCGCCCCCCTCAACCCTGCCCACAGGACGCCGCCCCCTCAACCCTGCCCACAGGACGCCGCCCCCTCAACCCTGCCCACAGGACGCCGCCCCCTCAACCCTGCCCACAGGACGCCGCCCCCTCCCCTGCCCACAGGAGCGCCGCCCCCTCAACCCTGCCCACAGGACGCCGCCCCCCCTCAACCCTGCCCACAGGACGCCGCCCCCCCTCAACCCTGCCCACAGGACGCCGCCCCCTGCCCACAACCCTGCCCACAGGACGCCGCCCCCTCAACCCTGCCCACAGGACGGACCCCTGCCGGACCCCCCCAACCCTGCCCACAGGACGCCGCCCCCTCAACCCTGCCCACAGGACCCGCCCCCTTAACCTGCCCACAGGACGCCGCCCCCTCAACCCTGCCCACAGGGACGCCGCCCCCTCCCTGCCCACAGGACGCCGCCCCTTAACCCTGCCCACAGGACGCCGCCCCCTTAACCCTGCCCACAGGACGCCCCCCCTTAACCCTGCCCACAGGACGCCGCCCCCTTAACCCTGCCCACAGGACGCCGCCCCCCCTGCCCACAACCCTGCCCACAGGGACGCCGCCCCCTCAACCCTGCCCACAGGACGCCGCCCCCCCCCTTAACCCTGCCCACAGGACGCCGCCCCCTTTAACCCTGCCCACAGGACGCCGCCCCTTAAACCCTGCCCACAGGACGCCGCCCCCTTAACCCTGCCCACAGGACGCCGCCCCCCTTAACCCCTGCCCACAGGACGCCGCCCCCTTAACCCTGCCCACAGGACGCCGCCCCCTTAACCCTGCCCACAGGACGCCGCCCCCTTAACCCCGCCCCCCTTAACCCTGCCCACAGGACGCCGCCCCCTTAACCCTGCCCACAGGACGCGCCCCCTTAACCCTGCCCACAGGACGCTGCCCCTTAACCCTGCCCACAGGACGCCGCCCCCTTAACCCTGCCCACAGGACGCTGCCCCCTTAACCCTGCCCACAGGACGCCCCACAGCCCCCCTTAACCCTGCCCACAGGACGCTGCCCCCTTAACCCTGCCCACAGGACGCGCTGCCCCCTTAACCCTGCCCACAGGACGCTGCCCCCTTAACCCTGCCCACAGGACGCTGCCCCCTTAACCCTGCCCACAGGACGCTGCCCCCTTAACCCTGCCCACAGGACGCTGCCCCCTTAACCCTGCCCCTGCCCACAGGACGCTGCCCCCTTAACCCTGCCCACAGGACGCTGCCCCCTTCCCCCTTAACCCTGCCCACAGGACGCCCCACAGGACCCCCCCCTTAACCCTGCCCACAGGACGCTGCCCCCTTAACCCTGCCCACAGGACGCTGCCCCCTTAACCCTGCCCACAGGACGCTGCCCCCTTAACCCCCCCCTGCCCACAGGACGCTGCCCCTTAAACCCCCACAGGACGCTGCCCCTCGCCCACAGGACGCTGCCCCCTTAACCCTGCCCACACAGGACGCTGCCCCCCTTAACCCTGCCCACAGGACGCTGCCCCCTTAACCCTGCCCACAGGACGCTGCCCCCTTAACCCTGCCCACAGGACGCTGCCCCCCCACAGGACGCTTAACCCTGCCCACAGGACGCTGCCCCCCTGCCCACAGGACGCTTAACCCTGCCCACAGGACGCTGCCCCCTTAACCCTGCCCACAGGACGCGCCCACAGGACGCTGCCCCCCTTAACCCTGCCCACAGGACGCTGCCCCCTTAACCCCCGCTGCCCCCTTAACCCTGCCCACAGGACGCTGCCCCCTTAACCCTGCCCACAGGACGCTGCCCCCCCCTTAACCCTGCCCACAGGACGCTGCCCCCAACCCTGGACGCTGCCCCCGCTTCCCCTTAACCTGCCCACAGGACGCTGCCCCCTTAACCCTGCCCACAGGACGCCCCCTTAACCCTGCCCCCAGGACGCTGCCCCCTTAACCCTGCCCACAGGACGCTGCCCCCTTAACCCTGCCCACAGGACGCTGCCCCCTTAACCCCCCCACAGGACGCTTCCCCCTTAACCCTGCCCACAGGACGCTCCCCTTTAACCCTGCCCACAGGATGCCCCACAGGATGCTGCCCCTTCCCCTCGCCCACAGGATGCTGCCCCCCTGCCCACAGGACGCTGCCCCCTTAACCCTGCCCACAGGACGCTGCCCCCTCGCCCACCCACAGACGCTGCCCCTTCCCCCCACGCCCACAGGATGCTGCCCCCTTCCCCCTCGCCCACAGGATGCTGCCCCCCCCCCTCCCCCCTCGCCCACAGGATGCTGCCCCCCCCCCTCGCCACAGGATGCTCCCCTTCCCCCTCCCCAGGATGCTCCCCCCCCCTCGCCCACAGGACGCCCCCTCCCCCTCCCCCCTCGCCCACAGGACGCTCCCCCCTCGCCCACAGGACGCTCCCCCCTCGCCCACAGGACGCTCCCCCCTCGCCCACAGGACGCTCCCCCTTAAACCCTGCCCACAGGACGCTCCCCCCCAGGAACGCTCGCCCCTGCCCACAGGACGCTGCCCCCTTAACCCTGCCCACAGGACGCTGCCCCCTTAACCCTGCCCACAGGACGCTGCCCCCCTTAACCCTGCCCACAGGACACTCCCTCTTTAACCCTGCCCACAGGACGCTGCCCCCCCCCCCTTCCCCCTCGCCCACAGGACGCTCCCTCTTCACCCTGTCTTCCTGTAGAGGGAAGGTCTGACTCTTATTTCGCTATGACACCCTATGAGAGGAGGGGCAGTCTGGTGGGTCAGGTTCCATACATGACAGCATCCTCCCCCTGTCCTGCCCCGACTTGGCTATGACTGCCTACAACAACGCGCTGTCAACAGCCCTTGACTCACTAGCGCGCCTTTAACCACACGCAACATCAGACCCCGACCACTCCAGCCCTGGCAGACTGATCACACCAAAACCCTCAAACGACACAGTCGTGCCCTGGAGCGACTATGGCGCAAAACCAAATCCAAACAAGCCTTCACCCGCTACAAATCTGCCTTCCGCACCTACACCTCCTCCCTCCATGCAGCCAAACAAGCTACTTCCTGACCCTCATCAAGGCCCTCTCCTCCAATCCTCGCCAACTCTTCTCCACCTTCAACTCTCTACTCTCTCCCCCCCACCTCCACCCAGCACCTCACTCACCGCCCTTGAGATTGCCAATCACTTCAAAAACAAGATTGACACAATTCGCAAGGACATCGCCGCAACTCACACGCCCTCTCAACCTGTCCCTCTCACACAGCTACGCCCTTATCCCCCCCCCCCTCGACATAACCCGCAGGGACTTCGTTGCTGCTCATACTCCCTCCAGCCCCATTCCCCCTCACTCAGCTACCCCCTCATCACCCCTCTCCCACGGCCCCACCACTGCTCTGACCTCCTCTCTCACCCCACCCTACATTCCCTCACCTTTGACCTTACTACCATCGAGGAAGTCTCCAAGATCCTCTCTGATGCCCGCCTCACCACCTGCCCCCTCGACCCTATCCCCTCACAACTCCTACGACCTCCCTCCCCCTCCATCCTACGCTCCCCCTCACCCACATCTTCAATCTCTCCCTCTCCTCTCGGCACTTTCCCCTCCCCTCTAAACATGCACACATCACCCCCATACTTAAAAGCCCTCCCTGGACCCCAATGACCCGAATAACCTCAGACCCATCTCCCTGCTCCCATTTACATCTAAACTCCTCGAGCGCCTCGTCTACACCCGCCTATGCTCTCACATCAAAGACAACAACCTCCTCGATCCCCTACAGTCCGGCTTCCGTCCCCTACACTCCACCGAAACTGCCCTACACTCCACCGAAACCGCCCTACACTCCACCGAAACCACCCTACACTCCACCGAAACCCCCTACACTCCACCGAAACCGCCCTACACTCCACCGAAACCGCCCTACACTCCACCGAAACCGCCCTACACTCCACCGAAACCGCCTTACTCAAACTCTCCAACGACCTGCTAACCGCCAAAGCTAATGGCCACTATTCAGTGCTCCTACTCCTTGACCTCTCTGCGGCCTTCCACACCATCCACCACCCCCTCCACCTCAAAATACTACACTCCCTCGGCCTCAGAGATTCTGCTCTCTCCTGGCTCTCATCCTACCTGTCACAGCGCTCCTCAGCGTTACCTATAATGCTACCACCTCCCCCTCACTCCCCCTCTGTGTTGGGGTCCCTCAAGGCTCTGTCCTCGGGCCCCTTCTCTTCTCCATCTACACCTCCTCCCTTGGCCAACTCATACACTCTCACGGCTTCAACTACCACCTCTATGCCGACGACACACAAATCTATCTCTCAGCCCCCCACCTCACCCCCTCAGTCTCCGCCCCTCACCTCACCCCCTCGGTCTCCGCCCGAATCACACACCTACTGAGCGACATATCGGACTGGATGTCTCTCCACTTCCTTAAACTGAATCTCTCCAAAACCGAGTTTGTCTTCCCCCCCCCACCCCCCCCCGTCCCCCCCCCCCCCATACCCCCCCCCATTGACTTCTCCATCAGGTCCAACAACGCCAATATCAAACCCGCCCTGCAGGCCAGAGTACTTAGTGTCGTTCTGGACTCCAACCTATCCTTCCAGCCCCAAGTCCAATCTTTAACAAACTCGTGCAGACTCCGCCTCCGCAACATGCAGACTCCGCCTCCGCAACATGCAGACTCCGCCTCCGCAACATCGCCAAAATCCGCACGTTCCTAACCCCAGAAACCACTAAACAGCTCATCCACTCCCTCATCATATCACGCCTCGACTACTGCAACTCCCTCCTCACTGACCTGCCTCGCCGCTGGCTATCCCCGCTTCAGTCCATCCTGAATACGGCTGCCAGACTCAGCCACCTTTCCAACCGCTCCATCTCCGCCACCCCCCCCCTCTGCCAATCCCATCACTGGCCTCCATTCGGTGTCCTCCACCCCTCTCTCTGCCAATCCCTCCACTGGCCTCCACTCGGTGTCCTCCACCCTTCTCTGCCAATCCATCACTGGCCTCCATTCGGTGTCCTCCACCCCTCTCTGCCAATCCCTCCACTGGCCTCCACTCGGTGTCCTCCACCCTTCTCTGCCAATCCCTCCACTGGCCTCCATTCAGTGTCCTCCACCCCCCTCTGCCAATCCCTCCACTGCCTCCACTCAGTGTCCTCCACCCCTCTCTGCCAATCCCTCCACTGGCCTCCACTCGGTGTCCTCCACCCCCCTCTGCCAATCCCTCCACTGGCCTCCACTCAGTGTCCTCCACCCCCCTCTGCCAATCCCCCCCTCCACTGGCCTCCACTCCGTGTCCTCCACCCCCCTCTGCCAATCCCTCCATTGGCCTCCATTCAGTGTCCGCCCCCCCTCTCTGCCAATCCCTCCACTGGCCTCCACTCAGTGTCCTCCACCCCCCCTGCCAATCCCTCCACTGGCTTCCGATTGCGCAACGGATCAGATACAAAAAATCCTAACACTGATGTACAAAGCTGTCCACCATACTGCCCCGAACTACATCACTGACCTAATATCCAAGTACCACCCAACACACCACACTCCGCTCCTCACAAGACCTCCTTCTCTCTAGTTCCCTGGTCTCCTCCTCCCATGCCCGCCTCCAGGACTTCTCCAGGGTGTCACCCATCCTCTGGAACTCCCTGCCCCAACCCATCAGATTATCACCTACTCTCCTCTCCTTTAGGCGCACCCTGACAACCCATCTCTTCAGGGAAGCCTACCCCACCCCCCTGCTAACTGCCGACCTCCTCCACTCTTCCTACCACTCCATCCCCCACAGCTATCTCCTCCTGTGCCACCATCCCCCCTCCCTCCTAGATTGTAAGCTCCCAGGATCAGGGCCCTCGATCCCCTCATGTATCACATTGTATTGGTATTGTTCTGTCACATGTTCTGTCCCCTCTGTAATGTACAGCGCTGAGCCAACTATCGGCGCTTTATAAATACTGTATAATAATAATAATAATAATAATAATTAGTGGTGTGTGCCTGTCACCCTACAGTAGGTGGGTCAGGTTCCATACATTAGTGGTGTGTGCCTGTCACCCTGCAGTAGGAGGGGCGGGCTCCATGTCTTATAGGTATACTCCCCTCTGTCACCCGTGGGGGGGGGAGGGGCAGACCTCCAGTCTCTCCACATTGGGCAGTAATGGGTGTTTCTCCATCTCTCACAGTTGGTACAGAATCCATATCAGTTTGATGTGTTGGTGATGCCGAATCTCTATGGGAACATCATCGATAACCTGGCGGCGGGTCTGGTGGGAGGAGCCGGTGTGGTTCCCGGGGAGAGTTACAGCGCGGAATACGCCGTGTTTGAGACGGTGAGTTCAGGATTTGGGGGCTCTGGATTGGTCAGCTGGATTCCCAGAATTCTCTGTTTCTTACCTGGATGAAGAGTGAATCGTTATCTGCCATTTAATCCCATTCACCGTACACAGGGGGCTGCAAGCCGGACATTTACCCATCATGCTGCTTGTTCTGTCTTCCCAGGGGGCCCGTCATCCCTTTGCCCAGGCCGTGGGCCGGAATATCGCCAATCCAACCGCCATGTTACTAACCGCTACAAACATGTTACGTCACCTCAAGTAAGTGACGGCCAGCGTGTCTCCTCCTGTGTCATGTGATGGGGCCGACGTATGTGACACTGTGCTATCAGCAGCCATATTGGTGGGGGCGTGGGTCTCTCGGATGTATGGAAGGCGTCTGTATACAAAGGGTGGGGGCTCACTGCTGCAGCATGGAGGGTGTCTGTATACAGATCCCTCTCTGGGGGGTGAGAGTCTCACTGCTGCCGCAAGGAGGGTGTCTGTATACAGATCTCGCTGCAGCATGGAGGGCGCCTGTATACAGATCCCTCTCTGGGGTGGGGGGGGTCTCACTGCTGCAGCATGAAGGGCGCCTGTATACAGATCCCTCTCTGGGGTGGGGGGGGGGGGTCTCACTGCTTCAGCATGAAGGGCGCCTATATACAGATCACTCCTCGGCGGTGGGGGGGTCTCACTGCTGCAGCATGAAGGGCGCCTGTATATACAGATCCCTCTCTGGGGGGGGGGGGTCTCACTGCTGCAGCATGGAGGGTGTCTGTATACAGATCCCTCTCTGGGAGTGGGGGGTCTCACTGCTGCAGCATGGAGGGTGTCTGTATACAGATCTCGCTGCAGCATGGAGGGCGCCTGTATACAGATCCCTCTCTGGGGTGGGGGGGGGTTCTCACTGCTGCAGCATGGAAGGCGCCTGTATACAGATCACTCCTCGGGGGTGGGGGGGGTCCTCACTGCTGCAGCATGGAGGGCGTCTGTATACAGATCACTCCTCGGGGGTGGGGGGGGGGTCTCTCACTGCTGCAGCATGGAAGGCGCCTGTATACAGATCACTCCTCGGGGGGGGGGGGGGGGGGTCTCACTCACTGCTGCAGCATGGAGAGCGTCTGTATACAGATCCCTCTCTGGGGTGGGGGGGGGGGGGTCTCACTGCTGCAGCATGGAGGGTGCCTGTATACAGATCCCTCTCTCTGGGGGTGGGGGGGGTCTCACTGCTGCAGCATGGAGGGGCGCCTGTATACAGATCCCTCTCTGGGGGTGGGGGGGGTCTCACTGCTGCAGCATGGAGGGTGCCTGTATACAGATCCCTCTCTGGGGGTGGAGGGGTCTCACTGCTGCAGCATGGAGGGCGCCTGTATACAGATCCCTCTCTGGGGTGGGGGGGGGTCTCACTGCTGCAGCATGAAGGGCGCCTGTATACAGATCACTCCTCGGCGGTGGGGGGTCTCACTGCTGTAGCATGGAGGGCGCCTGTATACAGATCCCTCTCTGGGGTGGGGGGGGGGGGGTCTCACTGCTGCAGCATGGAGGGCGCCTGTATACAGATCACTCTCTCGGGGTGGGGGGGGGGTCTCACTGCTGCAGCATGGAGTGCGCCTGTATACAGATCCCTCTCTGGGGTGGGGGGGTCTCACTGCTGCAGCATGGAGGGTGCCTGTATACAGATCACTCCTCGGGGGTGGGGGGGGTCTCACTGCTGCAACAGATTGGGGGGCGCCTGTATACAGATCCTCTCTGGGGGGGGGTCTCACTGCTGGAGCATGGAGGGCTCCTGTATACAGATCACTCCTCGGGGGTGGGGTCTACAGAGGACCCAGAGATGTAAGAAGCTCATTGGGTCTACCAGAGATGGGTTCTCAGACGAGGCGGAGTGATCCTTTAATATAAAAAATCCGTTTGCTGATCGGGAATGACGAGAAATCTGTTTATTTCCAGCCTGGAATATCACTCTCCACCCTCATCGCTGATGCTGTGAAGAAGGTGATTAAACAGGGAAAGGTGAGAGACTGGCCTGCTTCGCATTGTGTGCTGTGGTATTGCTGTATAACAGGTTAACTCCACCCAGGGGCGGACTGACAACTCATGGGGCCCCGGGCAATAGGGGATCATGGGGCCCCTGTGTCCTTGCCCAAACTCAAAAAAGCCTATGAAAACGGGACCAGGGCAGGGGCGGACTGACCATTTGGAAACTCGGGCACTGCCCAAGGTCAGTAGGGGGCCCCATGAGACGCCCCTGGTACATTTTTCATAGGCTTTTTTGAGTTTGGGCAAGGTCACAGGGGCCCCATGATCCCCTGTTGCTCGGGGGCCCATGAGTTGTCAGTCCGCCCCTGTACTAGGGGCATCTCATGGGGGCCCCTACTGACCCCGGGCCCTCAGGCAGTGCCCGAGTTTCCAAATGGTCAGTCCGCCCCTGACTCCACCCACTACACCTGTCAACTCACCCTCCCCTACACTAATAAAGGGCATTTCTCCATCATCCATTGAGGGTCACAGGAATTCAGTAACAGTTGGGTCATACCACTGCCTACATTGTAGGACTTTCTAGACCTTTGTGTACGGAGTTAGCCAAGGAGGACTTTCCCGGTCCAGGGCAGTGGCCTGCACCTTACCTGGGATTGTGGCAGAGCATTTCCCCCTTTGGGATGAACCGGTGGTCTGTGCCTATGATGGGTGTGATCCACATTGATATACCAACAAGAGGGTTGATGATCTCCTCACCTTTCTGGACGTTATTGTTGTGAAATGTTACAGCGCTGAGCAAACACGGCGCTATATAAATACTGTATAATAACAATAAAAAAATGTAAGTTCCTCCGTAGATCCAAGTTCACAATAATTGGTCCTTCCCTATCCTTGGAGCTACCTGGTATTTTTTGGGTCATTGGACAGACCTTATGTCCTTCCTACGGCCTAATCTGGCACCCGATCCTTTGTGGATCACTTCGCTGACCCCAATGAAAGAGAATTGGCCTTCAGCACCCTTGTATTTGGAACTTTTCAGAAGGACCTGGCAATCGTAGACTTTGGCCAGATGGGGTTTCGAGTGTCTAGTGATGGTAACTTGCCAATGGATAAAGCTTGTCTAGTGCAAGTCTTCTCTTGCAGGACAGGACCCTGGAAGCGGGTCCGGACAAGTGTCCCTTAAAATGGGTCCCAGCACGTCTTCTCCTTCCTCATTAGACGACGATGAGGTGTTTAACGTGTAGCCTCTTCCTCAATATTTGGAAACGACATACAGTCGGCCTCCATCATGACCCATCAGTCTCTAGAGTAAATGGTGTAGTATCCAAACCCCAGGGACCCCCTCTTGTTCTCCAGAGAGATCCCTCTGTGAATTGGTTTCTTGACCTGGACTATGCTGGACATCACTTCAGGCTTCACCTCTGGGTAAGTTTGTGGTGGTTCTCCCCTGTGCCATGGTGCATTACCTGGTCTCCAGATCCTTTCCTCCATTCTGACCGATTTTCAGATGATCCATCTTTGACTATGGTTCTGCCTCTCTTCATGGCGGTGGATTCACCTCTCGACTGTTGTTGTCCCCATATGGTAAATTCTGGCTGCCGGTACTTATCCGTGATAGAGAATATGTTCAGAGACCTAATATCCTGGAATTAGTTCCTACGTCTCTGGCTGACTAGTAACCTCCTGAAGAACCTTCTCCAGATCCTTTCCTCCATTCTGACTGATTTCAGATGATCCATCTTCGCTGTTTGACTATGGTTCTGCCTCTCTCCATGGCAGTGGATGCATCTCTAGACTGGGGTGGGTTTTCTCTTCTATCAGGTTGGGCAAGTCATGCAGAGTTTCTCTTCTGTTGAGAGCCCCGGGTACACCTCCCAGGAGTTTTTGGTGGATGGGTCCTTCTAACCTTCCTTCTCTCTGGTGATACGACCACCAGTCTTATACAACCTAAATATATAGCTACCCTTGCCAGTGATTTTCCACTCCTGGTGTGAGCACTAGACCGTTGTGGCCCTCAGAGGTCGTTGGATGATTCCTTAGCTTTGCAGGGGACTTCATCTTTATCTGATTCAGATTTGGGTGTTGGTCCTTCTTGTAGACCTGGGTTACAAACAGTTTCTGGTTTCTTCTAGATCTGTCTGGCTATTGACCACCTCTCCGCTAGGCTGTTTTTGGACATCCCAACTGTGATTGAATTCCAGATTATTTCAGCTGAAGATGGATGAAATAATATTTTTGTATCATAAAAATCTATTTCTTCAAGTCCATTGAGGGACACTTCCCTCACCCATTTTTGAGGGACACTTTTCTGGACCCTCTTTGAAGGATACTTGTCTGCGCCCTCTTTGAGGGACCCTTGCCTGGGCTCCCTTTTTTAGGGACACATTTCTTTGTATTTTATACTGACTCTGTGTACATCTTGCTCCCAAACAAAGGCATGCTGGGTAGTTGCGGGGGTTATATAGGGGCTGACCTACAACCTTTCCATTTGCCCCAACCTCCTCTCGGTATTATTATTATACAGTTTATATAGCGCCAAAGGGTATGCTCAGCGCTGTACAATAGCAAGGGGGACAGAACATGAGACAAGACAGCAACAATACAATACACGAGGGGTGCGAGGGTCCTGCTCTTTCGAGCTTACAATCTAGGAGGGAGGGGAAGGTGGTACAGGAGGAGATGGCTGTGGGGGATGGAGTGGTGGGAGGAGTGGAGGAGGTTAGTTGTTAGGTGAGGTCGGGTGTTAGGTGAGGGTGGGGGGTAGGCTTCCCTGAAGAGGTTTGTTTTCAGGGTGCGCCTGAAGGTGAGGAGGGTAGGTGATAATCTGATGGATTGGGGTAGGGAGTTCCAGAGGATGGGGGAAGTCCTGGAGAAGTCCTGTAATTTGGGCGTGGGAGGAGGAGACCAGGGAGCTAGAGAGTAGGAGGTCCTGTGAGGAGCGGAGGGCACAGGGTAGGGTAGTATTTTGGGTATCAGGTCAGTTATGTAGTTTGGGGCGCATTGTGAATGGCTTTGTAGGTCAGAGTTAGCAGTTTTGAATTTGATGCGTTGGGCAATCGGGAGCCAGTGGAAGGGATTGGCAGAGGGGGGAGGCAGGTGTGGAGCGGTTGGTGAGGTAGATGAGTCTGGCCGCTGAGTTCAGGATAGACTGGAGTGGGGATAGCGTTCGTTTGGGTAGGCCAGTGAGGAGGGAGTTGCAGTAGTCCAGGCGTGAGATGATGAGGGAGGCCCAGTGAGGAGGGGGAGCTGCAGTAGTCCAGGCGTGAGATGATGAGGCCAGGCCAGTGAGTGAGGGAGTGAGGAGGGAGTGCAGTAGTCCAGGTGTGAGGTGATGAGGGAGTGTACGAGTTGCTTGGTGGTGTCTGGGGTGAGGAATGTGCGTATCTTGGAGATGTTGCGGAGGTGGAGAGCCTGCAAGATCTAGATAGCAGTTGGATGTGGGGTAGGAAGGAGAGGTGGGATTCCAGGGTGACACCCAGGACTTTGGCGTGTGGGGTGGGAGAGATGGTGGCGTTGTTAGTAGTAGTGATGGAGAGGATGGGGGGGGGGGGGGTCGGCACGGGGGTGGGGGGAAGACCAGGAGCTCGGTTTTGGATAGGTTAAGTTTGAGGAAATGGAGCGACATCCAGTCTGTCGTTTAGGAGGTGGGCGATGCGGGCAGAGAGTGAGGGGGTGAGGTGGGGGGTGGAGAGGTAAATTTGTGTGTCGTCGGCATAGAGGTGGTAATTGAAGCCGTGGGAGTGAATACGTTTGCCAAGGGAGGAGGTGTAGATGGAGAAGAGGAGGGGCCCGAGGACAGAGCCTTGGGGGACCCCCAACAGAGAACACCCACATATAGGTCCTGCCACTTTCTATCAGCACTGTCCTCCCCCCGTTCCCGTCCTCCCAGCACTGTCATCCCCCCGTTCCCGTCCTCCAGCCCTGTCATCCCCCGTTCCCGTCCTCCAGCCCTGTCATCCCCCGTTCCCATCCTCCAGCCCTCTCATCCCCCGTTCCCATCCTCCAGCCCTCTCATCCCCCGTTCCCACCCTCCAGCCCTGCCATCCCCCGTTCCCACCCTCCAGCACTGTCATCCCCCGTTCCCGTCCTCCAGCCCTATCATCCCCCGTTCCCGTCCTCCAGCCCTGTCCATCCCCCGTTCCCATCCTCCAGCCCTCTCATCCCCCGTTCCCACCCTCCAGCCCTGCCATCCCCCCCGTTCCCACCCTCCAGCCCTGCCATCCCCCGTTCCCACCCTCCAGCCCTGCCATCCCCCCGTTCCCACCCTCCAGCCCTGCCATCCCCCGTTCCCGTCCTCCAGCCCTGTCATCCCCCGTTCCCGTCCTCCAGCCCTGTCATCCCCCGTTCCCGTCCTCCAGCCCTGTCATCCCCCGTTCCCGTCCTCCAGCCCTGTCATCCCCCGTTCCCACCCTCCAGCACTGCCATCCCCCGTTCCCACCTCCAGCACTGCCATCCCCCGTTCCCACCCTCCAGCCCTGCCATCCCCCGTTCCCACCCTCCAGCCCTGCCATCCCCCGTTCCCGTCCTCCAGCCCTGTCATCCCCCGTTCCCGTCCTCCAGCCCTGTCCATCCCCCGTTCCCGTCCTCCAGCCCTGTCATCCTCCGTTCCCGTCCTCCAGCCCTGTCATCCCCCATTCCCGTCCTCCAGCCCTGTCATCCCCCGTTCCCGTCCTCCAGCCCTGTCATCCCCCGTTCCCGTCCTCCCAGCCCTGTCATCCCCCGTTCCCGTCCTCCAGCCCTGTCATCCTCCGTTCCCGTCCTCCAGCCCTGTCATCCCCCGTTCCCGTCCTCCAGCCCTGTCATCCTCCGTTCCCGTCCTCCAGCCCTGTCATCCCCCGTTCCCGTCCTCCAGCCCTGTCATCCCCCGTTGCCGTCCTCCAGCCCTGTCATCCTCCGTTCCCGTCCTCCAGCCCTGTCATCCTCCGTTCCCGTCCTCCAGCCCTGCCATCCCCCGTTCCCACCCTCCAGCACTGTCATCCCCCGTTCCCATCCTCCATCTTCACCCAGTAATGTATATGAATTGTGTTCTTTTACTACATATTGTCCCACATTCTCACCGGCGTATGAAGCCGCTCCAGTTGGTCTACAAATAAGATTTATCCAATAATCCCCCCCCCCCCCCAATCAGAGATCATCCATTGTTATCCCTGGAGGGAATCTGCAGAAAGGAGTTTCCTCTGTGCTGCTTATTTTGCTTTTTTTTTTTTTTTGGGTGGTGTGTGTTGTGTTCCGGCTCCGTGTTCGCCCTGCCGCTCCTCCGTCGGGTACTGAGAGGTGGAATTGACTGGACTGTTACTGGTACAGCTGTACCATCCCAAAATTACTGGTTACCATCACAACTCCGGACTGTACATCCCAAATCACTGGTTACCATCACAACTCCGGACTGTACATCCCAAATCACTGGTTACCATCACAACTCCGGACTGTACATCCCAAATCACTGGTTACCATCACAACTCCGGACTGTACATCCCAAATCACTGGTTACCATCACAACTCCGGACTGCACATCCCAATCACTGGTTACCATCACAACTCCGGACTGTACATCCCAAATCACTGGTTACCATCACAACTCCGGACTGTACATCCCAAATCACTGGTTACCATCACAACTCCGGACTGCACATCCCAAATCACTGGTTACCATCACAACTCCGGACTGCACATCCCAAATCACTGGTTACCATCACAACTCCGGACTGTACATCCCAAATCACTGGTTACCATCACAACTCCGGACTGTACATCCCAAATCACTGGTTACCATCACAACTCCGGACTGTACATCCCAAATCACTGGTTACCATCACAACTCCGGACTGTACATCCCAAATCACTGGTTACCATCACAACTCCGGACTGCACATCTCAAATTTTACTGGTTAGAAGTACAACCTTGGTTTATAGACTGGTACCATACCATATTACAGCCAGAGGACCTTCTTGAGTCTGTCTGGGATCTTTCTCCATCTCTGTGTCCATCCTTCCTACTCTGATATGTCCTCCTCAGCCTATCCAAATATAGAGCCATTTATTTCAACGTGTCCAATCAGAGGCCTTGGTTTTATAGACCGGATACATCCTTCAAATATAGACCATTTTAATCCAACTGTTACATCCAGAGTCTTCTGTCCTACAGCATTATAGACCGGATACATCCTAAATATAGAGCCATTTATCCAACTGTACACCCAGAGCCTCTGGTTTATAGACCGGATACGTCCTAAATATAGAGCCATTTATCCAACTGTACACCCAGAGCCTCTGGTTTATAGACCGGATACATCCTAAATATAGAGCCATTTATCCAACTGTACACCCAGAGCCTCTGGTTTATAGACCGGATACATCCTAAATATAGAGCCATTTATCCAATCGTCCATCCAGAGCCTCTGGTTTTTATGCCATGTTAGATTTGTCCTCCTCAGTAAGTGATGTGGAAGATGGAATGACTTCTGTGAAGTTCTTGGTGGCTTCAGGAGAACTTAGGCAGAATAAGAAGAAAGAAACAGTTGGCTACAGACTTGCACCGTTTGGCCATTTTTGGGGAGAACTCTGGACTGAGGAGCTTAGTAGGGGCTGGGGGAGGGGGTGTTATTGGGTTATACATGAATGGAGATGTACAGTGCCTTGAAAAAGTATTCATACCCCTTGACATTTTCCACATTCTGTCATGTTACAACCAGAACCGTCGATGTATATTATTGGGATTGGATGTGATGGACCGACACAAAGTGGCACATAATTGTGAAGTGGAAGGAAAATGAGAAATGGTTTCCAACATTTGTGACCAATAAATCTGTGATCAGTGTGGCTTGCATTTGTATTCAGCCCCCTTTACTCTGATCCCCCTAACTAAAATCTAGTGGAACCAATTGCCTTCAGAAGTCACCTAATTAGTACATAGAGTCCCCCTGTGTGTCATGTGATCTCAGTATAAATCCAGCTGTTCTGTGAAGCCCTCAGAGGTTTGTTAGAGAACATTAGTGACCGAACAGCATTATGAAGGCCAAGGAACACATCAGACAGGTCAGGGATAAAGTTGTGGAGAAGTTTAAGGCAGGGTAAATATCTCCTAAGCTTTGCCCATTTCACGGAGCACTGTGTTCAATCCATCCTCCAAAAATAGGAAGAGTACGGCACAACTGCCAACCTACCAAGACATGGCCGTCCACCTAAAGTGACCGGCCGGGCAAGGAGAGCATTCATCAGAGAAGCAGCCAAGAGGCTCATGGGAACTCTGGAGGAGCTGCAGAGATCACAGCTCAGGGGGGAATCTGTCCTCAGGACAACTATTAGTCGTCACTCCACAAATCTGTCCTTTATGGAAGAGTGACCAGAAGGAAGCCATTGTTGGAGGAAAGCCATAAGAAGTCCCGTTTGCAGTTTGAGAAGCCATGTGGGGGGGACACAGCAAACGTGGAAGAAGGGGCTCTGGTCAGAGGAGACCAAAATTCAACTCTTTGGTCTAAAAGTAAAACGCTATGCGTGGCGGAAAACTAACACTGCCCATCCCCCTGAACACACCATCCACCACCGTGAAACGTGGTGGCAGCGTCATGTGGTGGGGATGTTTTTCTTCAGCAGGGACAGGGAAGCTGGTCAGAGTTGATGGGAAGATGGATGGAGCCAAATACAGAGCAATCTTACAAGAAAACCTGATAATCTGCAGAAGACTTGAGACCGGGGCGGAGGTTCCCCTTCCAGCAGGACAACGACCCGAAACATCCAGCCAGAGCTACAATGGAATGGTTCCCATCAAAGCATCTTCATGTGTTAGAATGGACCAATCACAGTCCAGACCCAAATCCAATGGAGGATCTGTGGCCAGACCTGAAAATTGCTGTTCCCAGACGCCCTCCATCCAATCTGACAGCTTGAGGGATTCTGCAAAGAAGAACGGGCAGAAATGTCCCTCTCTAGATGTGCAAAGAGACATCCCCAAAAAGACTTGCAGCTGGAATGGCAGCCAAAGGGGGTCCTACAAAGTACTGACTCCGGGGGGCTGAATACAAATGCCACCACACTTCTCACAGATTTATTGGTCACAAATGTTGGAAACCATTTCTCATTTTCCTTCCACTTCACAATTCTGTGCCACTTTGTGTCGGTCTATCACAGTGGTCTCTAAACTGCCGCCAGAGGGCCGGATGCGGCTCTTTGCTAGCCTTTATCCGGCCCTTAGGACACTATTCCTAACCCTGACACTAAAAGTGGGGCATAGTTCCCCCAACAGACACACAGCAATGGGACTCTGTTCTTCCCACTGACACCAATGATGGGCCAATATTCCTTCCAGTGACCCAATGATGGGCAATATTCCTTCCAGTGACACCAATGATGGGCCAATATTCCTTCCAGTGACGGCAATGATGGGCAATATTCCTTCCAGTGATGGCAATGATGGGCCAATATTCCTTCCAGTGATGGCAATGATGGGCCAATATGTGATGGCAATGATGGGGCACTATTCCTTCCAGTGACACCAATGATGGGCCAATTCCTTCTTGGTAATGATGGGCCAGTGATGGCAATGGGCTAATATTCCTTCCAGTGATGGCAATGATGGGCCAATATTCCTTCCAGTGATGGCAAATGATGATGGGCCAATATTCCTTCCAGTGATGGCAATGATGGGCCAATATTCCTTCCAGTGATGGCAATGATGGGCTAATATTCCTTCCAGTGATGGCAATGATGGGCCAATATTCCTTCCAGTGATGGCAATGATGGGCCAATATTCCTTCCAGTGATGGCAATGATGGGGCAATATTCCTTCCAGTGATGGCAATGATGGGCTAATATTCCTTCCAGTGATGGCAATGATGGGCTAATATTCCTTCCAGTGATGGCAATGATGGGCTAATATTCCTTCCAGTGACGGCAATGATGGGCCAATATTCCTTCCAGTGACACAATGATGGGCAATATTCCTTCCAGTGATGGCAATGATGGGCTAATATTCCTTCCAGTGATGGCAATGATGGGCTAATATTCCTTCCAGTGATGGCAATGATGGGCTAATATTCCTTCCAGTGATGGCAATGATGGGCCAATATTCCTTCCAGTGATGGCAATGATGGGCCAATATTCCTTCCAGTGATGGCAATGATGGGCCAATATTCCTTCCAGTGATGGCAATGATGGGCTAATATTCCTTCCAGTGATGGCAATGATGGGCCAATATTCCTTCCAGTGATGGCAATGATGGGCCAATATTCCTTCCAGTGATGGCAATGATGGGCTAATATTCCTTCCAGTGATGGCAATGATGGGCCAATATATTCCTTCCAGTGACACCAATGATGGGCCAATATTCCTTCCAGTGATGGCAATGATGGGGCACTCCTCCTCATACTGACCACAGGCACTATGCAACTGACCACCACACCTGAGACCTTGTTTACTCTCACTGATGTTGGCCCTGAGACTTTTTCTACCCCCCCCCCCCCCCTACCCGGCCATAGTCCGGCCCCCCTAAAGTCTGGAGGACAGTAAACTGGCCCTTTGGAAAGTTTGGAGACCACTGTTCTATCACATCAAATCCCAATAAATACATTGACGGTTTTGGTGACAACGTGGGGAAGATTTCAAGGGGGAGGAAGACGTTTTCAAGGCGCTGTATGTAGGTAACATCTCTGTGGAAGGATGTGTATGCAGTTTGTGGGGTGATAGATGGACGGATGGGAGTCTCCAGTTCTTTTCTTTTGTCATCTTGCTAGCCCTCCATTGTTTCTCAGTTCTGTATTCATCCGCCATTTTGTTTTTGTTTTCTCCCCTGTCCTGTGTGTGTGCTTTCCTCATCCTCCTCCTCCAGGTACGGACACGAGACATGGGCGGTTACTCCACCACCAGCGACTTCGTCAAAGCTGTGATTGACAACCTGCATGCTCGATACGCTACCTAACGCCATTGACTGCCCCTCATTCTACAGTGCCACGTCCACCACGAGTGGCTTGCCCGGCCCGTGTCTCGCTGTAATGACCCAGAATCCACCTGTTCACCTTCCCTCAGGATAGGCCACGCCCATTCATAGGGCTGGACAAGCTTTAGAATTTGGAATGAAACTCCGGGGTGTAGGAATCCTCGATGTCTATTTTTGTATCCAGTGTAAATAATATTTATAAATTGGCCGTATAATAAATTCCTGTCACAGCAGTGAGGCTGCATCGTGTTCTGTTTGCTGCTTTCCACGCATCTGAGGATGACACAATGTTCACTTCCATGGAATGAAGATGGCCGTGTTCCACTGGTGACCCATAGTCAGCGGAAGAGGTCACATGATACATTGGGGGCAAAACATTGGCAGCCATGTTACCCTAGAGGAGCCGGGTTAGGACATTCCTGGTCTCCGGGGTGGCAAGGGTGGAGTGTTTGACTTTGTGACGCCATTTGGGAACTGGGTTCAACCATCCGCTGTCTCTGGTGTGAAAAGGGCAGATTGTTGGCTCTGTGATGTCCTGGGGAGCTGGGTTCTGCTGTCTCCTGTGTGAGAAGGGCAGATTGTTGGCTCTGTGAAGTTCTGGGGAGCTGGGTTCTGCTGTCTCCTGTGTGTGAGAAGGGCAGATTGTTGGCTCTGTGATGTCCTGGGGAGCTGGGTTCTGCTGTCTCCTGTGTGAGAAGGGCAGATTGTTGGCTCTGTGAAGTTCTGGGGAGCTGGGTTCTGTTGTCTCCTGTGTGAGAAGGGCAGATTGTTGGCTCTGTGATGTCCTGGGGAGCTGGGTTCTGCTGTCTCCTGTGTGAGAAGGGCAGATGTTGGCTCTGTGAAGTTCTGGGGAGCTGGGTTCTGTTGTCTCCTGTGTGAGAAGGGCAGATGTTGGCTCTGTGAAGTCCTGGGGAGCTGGGTTCTGTTGTCTCCTGTGTGAGAAGGGCAGATTGTTGGCTCTGTGATGTCCTGAGGAGCTGGGTTCTGCTGTCTCCGGTGTGAGAAGGGCAGATGTTGGCTCTGTGAAGTCCTGGGGAGCTGGGTTCTGCTGTCTCCAGTGTAGTGTGAGAAGGGCAGATTGTTGGCTCTGTGATGTCCTGGGGAGCTGGGTTCTGCTGTCTCCTGTGTGAGAAGGGCAGATGTTGGCTCTGTGAAGTCCTGGGGAGCTGGGTTCTGCTGTCTCTGGTGCCATATCTGATGTGAGAAGGGCAGATGTTGGCTCTGTGATGTCCTGGGGAGCTGGGTTCTGTTGTCTCCTGTGTGAGAAGGGCAGATTGTTGGCTCTGTGAAGTCCTGGGGAGCTGGGTTCTGCTGTCTCTGGTGTGAGAAGGACAGATGTTGGCTCTGTGAAGTCCTGGGGAGCTGGGTTTGGCTGCTGTCTCTGGTGTGAGAAGGACAGATTTTGGCTCTGTGACGTCCTGGGGAGCTGGGTTCTGTTGTCTCCTGTGTGAGAAGGGCATTTGTTTGGCTCTGTGAAGTCCTGGGGAGTTGGGTTTTGGTATTCACCGTCTCCAGTGTAGTACGGGTGGGGCCTGCATTGGTTCTGTGACGTCCTGGGGCTAAGTGCTGCCATCCTGGCCCTGCTTCTCATGGGGCCTGTAGATGTGGCTCTGTGACGTCCTGGGGTATCTGAGTTTGGTCCTTTGCCATATCCTGATGTGGGAAGGGTAGACAGTATCCTGGCTGTGTGACATCCTGGGGCTGGGTATCAGGGGCCATGTCACTGTCTCCAGTGGGGGAAGGGCAGAGTGTTGACTTGTGGCCTGCAAGCTCCGATATGACATTTTTCTTCTTGGGTTTAGTTGTTGGGTAACCCCCGCCGTCCCTGTATCCTGGGGCCTGTATCCTGGGGCCTGTATCCTGGGCCCTGTATCCTGGGGCCTGTATCCTGGGGCCTGTATCCTGGGGCCTGTATCCTGTGGGCCTGTATCCTGGGTGGCCTGTATCCTGGGGCCTGTATCCTGGGGCCTGTGTCCTGTGGGGCCTGTATCCTGGGGCCTGTATCCTGGGGCCTGTATCCTGGGGCCTGTATCCTGGGCCTGTATCCTGTGGCCCTGTATCCTGGGGCCTGTATCCTGGGGCCTGTATCCTGTGGCCTGTATCCTGTGGCCTGTATCCTGTGGCCTGTATCCTGTGGCCTGTATCCTGTGGCCTGTATCCTGGGGCCTGTATCCTGTGGCCTGTATCCTGGGCCCTGTATCCTGGGGCCTGTATCCTGGGGCCTGTATGCTGGAACGTCCTCCAACATCTGCTTAGTACATTCCCGTAGACCTCTGTGGGGTGGAAGACACTGATAGTCCTATAGAGATTTTTGGATATCTGCTTCACACACATGGCCGTCATCTAGGTCAGGGGTCTCCAAACTTTCAAAGCTGTCCTTCAGGCTTTAGGGGGGGCTGGACTGGAAAATGTCCCAGCATCAGTGGAAATAAACAATGCTCCATCGTTGGTGTTAGTGAGTCATTGGGCTCCATTCTTGGTAAATTGAACTGTGCCCCATCGCTGGTGTCATTGGGCTCCATTCTTGGTATCATTGGGATGAACTGTGCCCCATCGCCGGTGTCATTGGGCTCCATTCTTGGTATCATTGGGATGGACTGTGCCCCATCGCCGGTGTCATTGGGCTCCATTCTTGGTATCATTGGGATGGACTGTGCCCCATCGCCGGTGTCATTGGGCTCCATTCTTGGTATCATTGGGATGGACTGTGCCCCATCGCCGGTGTCATTGGGCTCCATTCTTGGTATCATTGGGATGGACTGTGCCCCATCGCCGGTGTCATTGGGCTCCATTCTTGGTATCATTGGGATGGACTGTGCCCCATCGCCGGTGTCATTGGGCTCCATTCTTGGTATCATTGGGATGAACTGTGCCCCATCGCCGGTGTCATTGGGCTCCATTCTTGGTATCATTGGGATGGACTGTGCCCCATCGCCGGTGTCATTGGGCTCCATTCTTGGTATCATTGGGATGGACTGTGCCCCATCGCCGGTGTCATAGGGCTCCATTCTTGGTATCATTGGGATGGACTGTGCCCCATCGCCGGTGTCATTGGGCTCCATTCTTGGTATCATTGGGATGAACTGTGCCCCATCGCCGGTGTCATTGGGCTCCATTCTTGGTATCATTGGGATGAACTGTGCCCCATCGCCGGTGTCATTGGGCTCCATTCTTGGTATCATTGGGATGGACTGTGCCCCATCGCCGGTGTCATTGGGCTCCATTCTTGGTATCATTGGGATGGACTGTGCCCCATCGCCGGTGTCATTGGGCTCCATTCTTGGTATCATTGGGATGGACTGTGCCCCATCGCCGGTGTCATTGGGCTCCATTCTTGGTATCATTGGGATGGACTGTGCCCCATCGCCGGTGTCATTGGGCTCCATTCTTGGTATCATTGGGATGGACTGTGCCCCATCGCCGGTGTCATTGGGCTCCATTCTTGGTATCATTGGGATGGACTGTGCCCCATCGCCGGTGTCATTGGGCTCCATTCTTGGTATCATTGGGATGGACTGTGCCCCATCGCCGGTGTCATTGGGCTCCATTCTTGGTATCATTGGGATGGACTGTGCCCCATCGCCGGTGTCATTGGGCTCCATTCTTGGTATCATTGGGATGGACTGTGCCCCATCGCCGGTGTCATTGGGCTCCATTCTTGGTATCATTGGGATGGACTGTGCCCCATCGCCGGTGTCATTGGGCTCCATTCTTGGTATCATTTGGATGAACTGTGCCCCATCGCCGGTGTCATTGGGCTCCAGTCTTGGTATCATTGGGATGGACTGTGCCCCATCGCCGGTGTCATTGTCTCCCAGTCTTGGTATCATTGGGATGGACTGTGCCCCATCGCCGGTGTCATTGGGCTCCATTCTTGGTATCATTGGGATGGAATCGCCGGTGTCATTGGGCTCCATTCTTGGTATCATTGGGATGAACTGTGCCCCATCGCCGGTGTCATTGGCTCCATTCTTGGTATCATTGGGATGAACTGTGCCCCATCGCCGGTGTCATTGGGCTCCATTCTTGGTATCATTGGGATGGACTGTGCCCCATCGCCGGTGTCATTGGTTGGAATTGTGCCCCATTGTTGGTATCACTGGGAGGAATTGTTGGTGTCAGTGGATTAAATGGTGCCTCAAGGGCTAGATAAAACCAGGCAAAGGGCCGCATCCGGCCCCCTGGATGTAGTTTGGAGATCACTGATCTAGATGATTATGTCCAAAGCTTGTACACAGTATAGGGGGGGAGGGGCACTGTAGGGGGGGGGCACTGTAGGGGGAGGGGCAAAACAGGAAACATTTGGTCATCTTTAATTGTTTGAGTGAATAATTGAATTTATAGCGTTGGTTACAGTTGGCCGAAGTTCAGCGATTTCTCTGATAAAACCTCCGGCAGGTGAAGCCAAACTAGTGCTAGGAGTTGTCTGCCGCCCTCTGTACTGCCAATGGCAGCCATTGCCCTGCGTGAGCCCTGCACCGCCCTGCACCGCCCAGCACCGCCCTGCACCGCCCTGCACCGCCCAGCACCGCCCTGCACCGCCCAGCACCGCCCTGCACCGCCCTGCACCGCCCTGCACTGCCCAGCACCGCCCTGCACCGCCCAGCACCGCCCTGCACCGCCCAGCACCGCCCTGCACCTCCCAGCACCGCCCTGCACCTCCCAGCACCGTCCTGCACCTCCCAGCACCGCCCTGCACCGCCCAGCACCGCCCTGCACCGCCCAGCACCGCCCCGCACCGCCCAGCACCGCCCTGCACACCGCCCCGCACCGCCCAGCACCGCCCTGCACCGCCCAGCACCGCCCCGCACCGCCCCGCACCGCCCAGCACCGCCCTGCACCGCCCTGCGCCCAGCACCGCCCTGCACCGCCCAGCACCGCCCAGCACCGCCCTGCACCGCCCAGCACCGCCCTGCACCACCCAGCACCGCCCTGCACCGCCCAGCACCGCCCCGCACCGCCCAGCACCGCCCTGCACCGCA